AGGTTCTTACAAAGAATGAAATGAAACTGTCAAAAAGCTGTGGTAAAGTCTACTTACAAAAGTGAAAATGAAGAGAGAGAGAGAAACTGGCTCTGCCACAGGAGCTTGGCTGTGTAAAAGACACAATGACCCGTGGAGGAAGCAGAGTGACCAGTGAGGCAGCCACCATACCAAGCTCTTCTTGGTGTCTGTGTCCTTTTACACAGTCTAGATCTTGAGAAAGCCTGAGAGGACGGCTACGTACAGGTCCTGAGAGTTGGTGCTAAGTCCTGGGCCTCAGCCTGATGTCAGGCCTAGCTCATCCTAGTGAAGCCTGCTCAAATTCTCCTGAGAGGTTTTGCAGGGCTTTGGGAACTGTTCTTCACACACGTGCCAGGGAATGTGATTAACAGGTCACCCAAGCCCTGTTCCTCAGCCAGCTTTGTCAAGCCCTAATCTCCTCTCTCAGGATGATCACCTCAACTCAGAAGTCAGCCGGGGCTATATGGTGAGTTCAGGGTCAGCCTGAACTTGTTAGTGAGGCTCTGTCTCAAAAATAAAAAGACTAAAACCACACAAACAAAAAGCCTCCAAACTATCTAAATTAAAAAAAAAAAAAAGTATGGGGTGGTGAAATCCATATTTGATAGACAATTACAGATTTAGAAAAATGGCAGGATAATTTGTTTCTGTCCCATCAGTTAGGTTTCATTTTGCTGATAACTTCAGTTGGCACTGTGGGCACCAAGAAGCAAAACAAAAACACACAGGAGAGCAAATCCTAGGATTCTTTTTCTAGGGATGTAATGCATGCGTACAAATAAAATGCCTCAGTGGGAAACTATATATTTTATATAAAATAATCACAAATGACAAAAGCTACAAATAACTTCTGGTTTTAGATTTTTATCATGGAAAATTTCAAACACCTACAGAAAAATCGATTACTATAATGAATCCTTGTGTGTTTGTTTCGGTGTGGATTTGCAATGTTCCCCAAACCCTTGCTTGCCAGCTCATGGGCTTTTGGAAAGTGAATGAATCATGTGGGCTCAAGTGGACTGATCCACTGATGAGGTCATAATTTGGGGGCATTCTTGGGAAGGGACAGAAACAGGCTGTGAGGCCTAGTTGAAGGGCATGGGCAATGGGGAGGGTAGCTTTGGAGACTGGCGCTGGTCCCCAGCCTTTTCCTCTCCGGCTCTTCCTCTCATTCTCTAGCTCCGGGACTCTGGAAGGTAGGAAGCTTTCCTCTGCCAGGCCCATCTGCCGCGATGTCTCTGCTTTGCCACAGCCGTACAGAGCTGGAGCCCAATGAAGGTGGACCGAAACCTCCGCACCTGTGAGCCAAATAAATCTCTCCCTTTAAATTATTCACATCAGGCATTTTGCTCCAAGGGCGGACCAAATAGCTCAGCGGATTAAAGTGCCTGCAAGCAGGCACAGGAGCTGGGGTTTCAATCCTGGGTGTGTCGTTGTCGGCCCCGCCCCCCGGAGCCAGCAATTGAGACTGGGTGTGGTGGCGCAGGACTGTAATCCCAGCTCTTGGGAGGCTGTAAACAGGCAGATCACTATGAGTCCATGCTAGTAGGGAGACCCTGAACACCCTGTAGACCCTTCCCTAAAACAAAAACAACAACAACAACAAAAAAACCCAAGGAATTTTGTTCCAGTGATAAAACATGAACATAATACTCATCACAAATTTCAACAAGCTCATGTTGCAGTCTCATTTTAGAATTATCCCTCCCATTTCTCTCTGACCCTAAATTGTTTGGAAGCAAATCCCCAATATCATATCTTTTCATCTGCAAATATTTCAAGAAGTATCTCTAAAAGATAAGTACATTTTTTTATTTTTTTAATTTTTTTTTAATTTTGTTTATTTATTTATTTTGTGTGTGTGTCCAGCTCAGCCCACCAGGGGGTGGGGCTAGCTGGCATGTGGTGCTGGGGGATTGAACCGCGGTCCCTGTGCTTTGCTCAGTTTAGCTTGTTCTAAGTAGGTGCTTTAGACCACTGAGCCATCTCACCAGCCCCAAGTACATTTTTTTAAAAAAGTACCATTTACCAGACATGTTTAGCAATAATTTTTTTAATTATTCTTTACAAATCATCAAGTACATTGGAAGTATTATCAGCATTCCTATTTCCCCAATTATTGAATAATTTTCTTGGTTTTTTGACTGAGGACCCAATAGTGTCTATACTCCACAACTGTTTGCTGCCTCCTAAAATCCCTTTTACAGGTTACCTGTCCATATTTCTTTCCATTTTTTTTCCTGCCTCAGGTTATTTATACAAAGAGCACGGGAGGACCCCAGCCCCCCACAGATGGCACCCCAGGGATCACACCAGTCCTTCTGTTTTTACATCAGCAGATAAGAGGCTTTTACTGGAGCCTTCACCAGCCTGGGCACCTTTGGGGGCCTGGGCTGGAGCAGAAGCTGGAGCCTCGGCCTTGTGGAGCCTGGGCCTTTGGCTGGCAAGGTCTGTGACCCTTGGCAGTGCAGGCACGGATACGCTTCCCGAACTTGGGGTGGGCAATATAGGCCAGTGGAGTGAGCCTGCAGTTTACTCCCTTTGGGATGATCTTGGGCTTGACCTCCTTGGGCTTGACGAGGGCCTTGGAAGCCTCAGCGTGTGCGCCCATGGCCTTGGCATCGTTTGCTTGCACCTTCTTGAAGCCCTTCTTGTTGTGCTTCTTGGCAAAACGCATGTTCCTAAGGAACTTGGGATCTAGCTGCTTCAAAGATTCATATCTTTGTGACCGAGGTTTCTTGATGCCATTTCTGTGCCATTTTCGGGACTGGTTGTGCATGGTGTGGTTCTTGGACTTGGCCATAACTGCACTGTAATCCGCAGCAACCACGTGCCTGGAACCGCCTTCTTTCCATTTATTTGTTGAGCAACCCAAGTCATTTGTCATTTGTTTTACATTCTCACCCAGTTCTGCAGACAGACAGACAGACAGACAGACAGACAGACAGACAGGAAAAAAAATAAGAAATCTGTACCCTGAGGTACATTTGATGTACCTCTAGACCAAAGGTTGATCAAATTCAGGAGGAAGCATCTTTTTCTTTTGTTTTTGTGTGCCAATTCTTCCTTCCTTCCTTTTTTTCTTTCTTTCTCTCTTTCTTCTTTCTTAGACAAGGTCTTACTCTGTAATTCAGGCTGGCCTTGAACTCACTGTGTTACCCAGGCTGCCTCAAACTCATGGCAAGCCTCCTACCTCAGCCTCCCAAATGCTGGGATTACAGGTGTGCACCACCACACCCAGCTCTACTTATTTGTTTTATCCTGCAATACAACCCAAATAGTTCTAGAATGATGCCCACACACACACACACACACACACACAAATAATGCCAGCACTACCACCAATAATATGCATACTTTAAAATCTTTTTTCTTCACTTATTTTTATTATTAGAGTATATTCCGTTTTGTATGTTACAGTTAGTCTATTGTGTTTTAAAGCCACTATTGAATAGATTAGTTGAGGGCACTTTGCATTTTTTTAATAAAACTCTGTGACATGGCTTCATACAATTGAGAGAAAAACTAAATTTGTTAGAAAACCCCATATATGTGCCAGCCATGGTGGTGCACACCTTTAATGCCAGCTGCTTGGGATGCCAAGGTAGGAGGACTGAAAATGCAAGGCCACGGTGTCTCCAAATAAGCAAATCAAAAGGCCTGGAGCTATATCTCAATGCTCCCTGGGTTCAAGTTCCAGTACAACAAAAAACTACATTCAGGTGTGGTGGTGCATGCCTGTAATCCCAATACTCTGGGAAGCTGAGGCAGGAGGATCACAGTTTAGTCTCAAAAAATAAAAATTAAAAAAAGGGCTGGAAATGTAGTTCAGTGCAAAGACTCTGGAGACAATTTCCAGTATAGGGATGGGGGTACGTGAGTCTGAGAAGAGTGCTGTGTGGACCTACAAATTCCGAATGAAGTGTAGAGCTGATTGGTATAGATGCCTTAGTGACACTATTTGTAGTATCTTTGTGTTAATTTCTCTTGGCCAGTGCTACAGGATAGGCCCGTGGTTGCACAAAACATTGCATGGCTAAATTTCCTGGTTACAATATCTATCTTCTTTTGTTGTTGTTTTTTACATAGAGTCTCACTTGTGCAGTCCAGGGTGGTCTTGAGCTCACTGTGTACTTCACGCTGGCCTCAAACTTGTGGTGATCCTCCTGCCCCAGCCTCCCAAGTGCTGGGAATACAGGCATGTGCACCACCATGCCTGGCTGCAATGCCTCAAACAGACACAAAAGCAAGTTTCTGAATCTGTTTAAGTTTTTTTCTCCAACTCCCCTCCTCTCGGGATTGGTAAAGTCCAAAAAATAATTCATCTCCATTCTGTCTCCTCACCCTTGTTTTGGTCGTCCTTCTCCCAGCAATGCTGAGCTCCGATGCTTCAAGGGCTGATGCAGGGCAGCAAAGGAGGAGCCACTGTGCAAAGTAAGGTGATGACAACGGAGGAGGCAGGGAAACAGACAGCTGCAAGAGCCTGCGCGAGGGAGACTGAACAACCCCTCATCCTAAACAACCCAGAGCTCAGATTTCTTCTCTCAACAGGTGGTTTTTTTAGTTTCTGAAATACTCTGCAAAGATGGGGGAGGAGCTGTGAACTTTCTCCACTCTGGATTCTTGCAGCTAGATACAACATGTGGAAACTACAAGTGCTGGTCAGTACAGCAGTGGTAGGTGGAGGACATGCATTTGTCCACTGTAATTATTAAAGGCCACAACCGAGAATACTGGAAAGATTCCTGGAGAAGCAGGGACTGCAAAGACCTGTGAGCTGGAACTGGATATCTGACCCGCCTGTCTCCCCCAGGCGCACTTGGCACTCTGTCTTCCATATTCTGTCCAATCTTCCTACCCTCCCCACTGCCTCCACTCCCACACCCTACTGCCACCAATGTTCCTGGAATTTTGGACTTAGCTATTTTTAAAACCGTCAACTCAGTAGCCACCTCCCTCCCCCACTCAGCTGTCCCGGTCCTCTGGCAATCCATGTCTCCCCCACCACCACCACCAAACCTTCTCTGGCTCCCTGACCTCAGGGAGATTTCAGTGGCCCAAGGGCTGTGAAGCTGGGGGAAACAGGAAGAGCCGGGAGCCCCTGGTGGCAACAAGCCACCAAAATAAGCAACCATGGCTGGAGAATTGGATGTCAGAATGATGTCTGACCACTGGAAACAGTAAGTTGAAGTGAGATTGCAATTACTTTAAAAAAAAAAAAAAACTTTTGTATTGAGGTGTGACTCTTATAAAATTGCAGACACTGACTTGGATGTCTCTGTCCCAAAAGGTAGGATAAGATGCCGCTTGACCAGAAGGCCCCAACCCCCTTTTCTCCTGCTCCATTTCTTCCTGGTCTCTGACTTCAAGCCGTTTGAACTTTAATGTTCTGGCTCTCCTCTAGCAGTCTTAGTTAACTATACTTTGTTACCTCAAGATATTTTGGTTTGGTTTGGGTGGTAGTGCTGGGCACTACCTAAAAAAGCCATCTCGACAGGTTTGCCTTGTGCAAACCCGGGGCCTTGTACATGCTAACCATGTGCTTTTCTCCTGAGCTCTACCCTAAACACCCCCTTCAAGACTCATGGTAAAGCTTTAGGAGGAGTCTCCCATACCCTCTCCTCTGCAGTTTTCTCCTGAAGGCCTTTTTTAACAGTCACCTACCCTACCCCTACCTAGCAATACTCTTCACAGTGGGCTTCCAAGGATGCTCCTGTTGTATTCAATTTCTCCCCTTATTCCATTCCCTTTGTCCTACTCTTCCTTCTGCAAGCCCCTTCCCATAATTTGGCAGGAGGGAGGTAAGGACTTAGCTTCTCCCCAGCCAGCACCCTCAAAAGACTAGGAACTTCTGAATTCGCAAGGGACAGAAGAGTGGTCTTTGAGTTCCGTGTGGAAAGTTACAAAAATGGTTACTTTGAAGAAAACAAATATTGTATTGCATGCTTTGTTTGCAGCTATTATTCTATGAGTAGAAGGATTGTACCTGCAGGCCTCTAGGGCAGATGGGAGAGACTGGTAATGTTCTAAAAGGGATAAGTACTCCCCCTCTGCTCTTCTTTGTGTTCTGACACACAGGAGAAAGAGAAATGAATGCCTTCTGGATGGTGTCCCCTTGATGGGAGGGACAGCAGGAGATACATTTCTAAAGTATTTTCAGATCCTCATTCTGTTGGGGAGCCCTTCAGGATGACTGAGATCTAATCTATCCCCATGATTTCTCCAAACACATCTGCTCTTTGGTAGCTCGGGATGGGGCAACACAGTGGACTCTGCCCCCCCCCCACTCAACCCTCCCTCCACCCCCACCTAGAGGTATTGCACAAGGGACCTGAGAGTGAGCACAGGAGCAGGGGCCAGAGGGGTACCAGCTACGCTACAGTTTGGGGAGCCTCATTCTCCCTGATCTCCAGGCTGCTCATCCTTTTCTTGCTCTCTCCAGGTGCTCTCCACACCGTCCTGACCAATCTTTCGCTCTTCTCTTTCCCCATGCCCAGCCAAATTTCTTTTTTCAGTCACTTCCAAGACTGCCGGTCAAAATTCACTAGGTAGGAAGGTCATCAGCTGGGAAGAACCGGCGCCAGGGGGGACCTGGCGGGATAGGCATGGGAGACGGGAGTCGGTCCCCTAGTCCCCGGCCCCCCCATGGCAGTCCCTCAACTCTAAGCACTCTCACTCTCCTGCTGCTCCTCTGTGGACATGGTAAGGAAGAGCCAGGGAAGGGGTCGGGGAGGTGTCCAGGGCAGTGCAGACAGGGCGGGAGTGAGCTAAGAGGTGCGGGTCAGTTGCCGCCCCCACAAACAGGGGTACTTTCCAGTCATCTTGGGGAACCGCTGGGAGAGGCCTTGGGTCGACAGAGAGGCAGGCCGGGCGATGGCCCGTTTTCAATCAGACTGAGAAGAGACCCAGGGAGCCAGGGCTGGAGCGAAGACGGCCGCGGAGGGGCAGTGCGAGCCGCTGCACCCTCTGCTGAGATGCTGGGGAGCGAGGAGCACGCTCCTGCAGCGGGCCTCGGGCCGCCTCACAGGGCTCCCCCGTCTGTCCTCAGCGCACTCCCAATGCAAGATCCTCCGCTGCAACGCCGAGTACGTGTCGTCCACCCTGAGCCTCCGAGGCGGGGGCGCGCCGGGAGCGGTGCGGAGGGCGGGCGCGGGCGGCCTCTGTCGGGCGCTCCGCTCCTACGCGCTCTGCACGCGGCGCACCGCCCGCACCTGCCGTGGGGACCTGGCCTTCCACTCGGCGGTGCACGGCATCGAGGACCTGATGATCCAGCACAACTGCTCGCGCCAGGGCCCGACCGCCCCGCCCCCGCCCCGGGGCCCGGCCCTCCCGGGCGCAGGCCCGGACCCCTGCGACTACGAGGGCCGCTTCTGGCGGCTGCACGGCCGCTCGCCCGGCTTCTTGCACTGCGCCTCCTTCGGGGACCCCCACGTGCGCAGCTTCCACCACCACTTCCACACGTGCCGCGTCCAAGGAGCCTGGCCCCTGCTGGATAACGACTTCCTTTTTGTCCAGGCCACCAGCTCCCCCGTGGCATCGGGGGCCAACGCTACCACCACGCGGAAGGTCAGAGGCTCAATCTTCCTCCTGCCCCAGACCACGATCCTCTCTGGGTCCCCACCCCCGACAACCCCTACCGGGTACCACGCCCTTCCGGTCCCCGCCATTTCTCCACGGTCTGCCTTCCCTGTCTTTCTGAACCACTCTGGCATCCAGAATCATCGCTTCCTCCTAACAAATTCTGTAAATCAATTTCCTTAGAGGTGAATTTCACACTGATGCAGAAAACACTATAGGAAAAGCTGGGAATAGGAGAGCTAAGGCGTTTCAGACGGGATACTTTCTCTGGGAGTGGCTGAGATTGAGGCCCACTAATATAGAGGGACGACCGAGGGATTAGGCGATAACAGAGTAGAAAAGATGGAGGACCCAGGACCGTGAAGAAACCCTGCCCCTTGCGTGAATCAGATCAATGACTATGTTTGAGGCCTAACTGGGGGAGGCTGCACTGGGCCCAAAATGAATTGTTCTTCCTCTTGTTCTCACAGCTCACTGTCATATTTAAGAACATGCAGGAGTGCATTGACCAGAAGGTCTACCAGGCTGAGGTGGACAACCTTCCTGCTGCCTTTGAAGACGGTTCTGTCAATGGAGGTGACCGACCTGGGGGCTCAAGTTTGTCCGTTAAAACAGCTAACCCTGGGAGCCACGTGGAGATCCGAGCTGCCTATATCGGCACAACTATAGTCATTCGGCAGGCAGCTGGGCAGCTGTCCTTCTCCATCAAAGTAGCAGAGGATGTGGCCAGGGCCTTCTCAGCTGAGCAGGACCTGCAGCTCTGTGTTGAGGGGTGCCCCCCAAGCCAGCAACTGTCTCGCTCGGAGCGCAGTCGTCGGGGAGCTATAACCCTAGATACTGCCAGACAGCTGTGTAAGGAAGGGCTTCCAGTGGAAGACGCTTATTTCCAGTCCTGTGTCTTTGATGTTTCAATCTCTGGTGACCCCAACTTCACAGCAGCTGCCCAGGCAGCTCTGGAGGACGCCCGAGCCTTCCTGCCAGACTTAGAGAAGCTGCACCTCTTCCCTTCAGATGCAGGGGCTCCTCTCTCCCTGACAACCTTCCCAGGCCCACTTCTTTCAGGGCTGTTCATTCTGTGGCTTTACTTTCAGTAAGTACACCAGCTATCTCCTGGCCAATTTGGAAATAACGGGACAAAGGTTGGCATGGACAAATACAAAGAGCTGCTAAGAAAACGGTAGTGACTAAGAGACACGTGATAAAAAATGGCACTTGTCCAGAGTCAGAGGGACTGGAGGCCAGGTTTGAAGTAATCACAGAAGAGGGGTTCTGGGCAGGGTTTCTGCATTCCAGCTTTCTGGAGGAACTCATCTCCAACTGTGACAGTCCTGTCTATAGTAAGAGGATTGTTCTGATCCATCTATATCTGGGATGGCCCCATAAACTTGGAGGTCTAATGGGTGCCTGGTGGTCAGAAAAGAATTTAGGCATTAATGTTGTAAAAAGCAACAATTAAAAGAGAAGGACATGACCATTACCCATGAGAAACTCAAGGGGGGAAAAATAATTAGAGAAAGAAGTCTATTTATGAATAGACTTGGTTGAGAATGAAGAGGGCGTTGTTTGGGTTTGAGGTGAAGGGAACTGTCTTTCAGAGAATGACACAGTAGGATACAAGCTATCGTTCCCACTCCTAACTACTCGGTTATTAAAGCTATGGCTTCTCCACACTGTCCTCTGCTGCCTATGTTGGATCTCTTTACAGATGTATTTAGTAGAACAAAGACCGTGTGCACATCTCACCAAAAGAAGGCTCAGAAATCAGCAACTCTTCTGTCTGGCCTTAGAGAGTTTGTAGGCTATTAGAGAAAGAAAACTGTTTCGCACAAAGGAAAGGAGTATGTAATATATCAAACTCTATGGTAAATGGAGCCTGGCGATACATACCTGTAGTCTAAGCACTCTGGGAGGCAGAGGCAGGAGGGTCATACATTTAAGCTCAGCATGAGCACTTTAGCAATTTAGTGAGATCCTGCCTCAAATTTTTAAAAAAATCCCTGTCTTGATTTTTAGTGCAGGCTGGCCTGGAGCTCACTATGTAGGAGAACATGCCACATTCCTGCCTTGGCTTCCTCAGTGCTGGGATTACAGACATGAGCCACCACAGCCAGTAGACAAAAAAATTTAAAAGGGTTAGAGATGTAGTATAGTGCAAAGGTTCTGGGTTCTGTCCCAGTACTGGAAAAAAAAATGTATGGTACTGTGAATTCAGAGAGGAAGATGATGGGTGAGAAATCAGGAAGTGAGGTTGGGTGTGGTAGGATGGGCCTGTAACCCCGGCTACCTGGGAAGCTGAGGCAGGAGCAGAACAAGCTGGGAGCCACTCTGGATAACTTGGTGAGATCCTGTCCGAAAAGAAAATTTAAGGAAAAGACTGCAGATGTAGTGCAGAGGCAGAGTTCACCTAGCATGTGTGAAGGGCTTGGATCTATCCATAGTAGCACCCGGGGGAAGAAAGGTAATGAATGGTAATAGAGGAGATTTGAAAAGACTGGCAGGATTTGAGTTGTTCAGGACCGTCAGGGCGACTGGAACCATCGGGAGCTAAGGATAGGTTCATGATTCAGAGCAGAAATCAGCAAAACTCAAATGCATGCACAAGGAGTAATAGGATGGACTGGCAGAAGGAGGAAGCTGGGCAGGAGGAAACCTTCCATAGCTTCAGGGCCCGCTCAATATCTCAACTGCAGCAGTTGTCCCAAGCCATGAATTACACTCTTAAAGATAGCCAATGGGTCATCTAATGAGTATACAGAAATAAAACTACGTGGGGTTTTTTTTGTTGTTGTTTGTTTGTGGAACCAGGGATTGAACTCAAACCCTTGCACTTGTCAGGGAAGCGCTTATTCTACTGAGCCATCTCCCTGGCCCTAAAACTACAATTTTAATGGATAGGCAAGCCAGCAAGGCAGTGCACACCTGTAATCCCAGCACTCCAGAGGCTGAGGCAGGAGGATCACCAGGAGTTTGAGGCCAACCAGGACTACATAGCTATATAGTGAGTTGAAGCCAGCCTGAACTACATAGTGAGAACCTACCTCAAAATAACAAAAAGAAGGGCCGACAGCATAGCTCAGCTGACTGAGTGCCTGCTTAGGCAAGCATAGGGACCCGGATTCCATCCCTCACACCACATGCCCCCGGTTGTGCTGAGCCACCACTGAGTCCGGGCGTGGTGGTGCACACGCCCGTAATCCCAGCGCTGAGGAGGTGGGGCAGCTGAAGACAGGAGGGTCACTACGAGTCCGAGCTGCATAGTGAGACCCTGGAGCAAATACATTAAAAACAAATAAATAAAAAAAATAAAATAAAATAAAGGAAAAAAATGGATCGTCTAGGAGTAGTGGCACATGCCTCTAACCCCAGACACTTGGGAAACTCAAATTCAAGGCCAGTGTGAATGATTTAGTGAGACTCTGTCTAAAAAAGGGGCTGGGGCCTGGGGATGTAACTCCTTGTGAAGTTTTGGGTTCAATTTCCAGGACAACAAAATCTGTCTACCTACATCTATCTGTCTAATCTTTTAAAACGTGTAGCCTAGCTTTCTTCATCTGGTGCTCAGATGACAAGCTTAGGAAACAGGAAAAATTAGATGACAAGGTGAGGGGAAAAGATAGTCAATTGTTTTATATTCTCTTCTCCACTGCTATGATGAGGTCTTTTTCTCCACATTCGCCTGGTGAGACCATAGAAAGCAGTACTCTCCAGTTGAAAGCCCGGAACTGTAAATTGAAAATCTGACTGCCCACTTCACAATTGGCCAGCAGATGGCGCTAATGACTAAAAATTTATGCAGGGAGCATGGGCCAAGTCTCCAGAAAATTAATTTCTTCAGATTACCTGATACATCGACCATTTGAGATAAAATATGAATAGGCAGTTGACAGAATTGAAATTTAAGAAATAAAATGAAGATAGAGGCACAGTAAAATAAATGGTTTAAATAAATCACTATAATTTCACAATGACCAAAATATGCTACTTGGCCTGATGGTGAATAATATTTACATGGTAGAAATAATGTAATTGCTGATGATTGACTTAATTAGAGATATAATTAATGAGCATATGAGATATAAGGGAAGGGAATATAGAGATACAGTTTGGTGCGAGAGCTGTAATTTTGAGCTGGGGTATTACTTCATAGTACAGCACTGTCATGACACCTGGATTTAGCCTCCGATAAAAAAAAACAAAACAAAAATTAATAAAATTTGAATTACTGTCCAGGTGTGGTGACACATGCCATGCCTATAATCCCAGCACTCGGGGAGGCTGAAGCAGGAGGATTACTACAAGCTTGAGGCCAGCTTGGGCTACATAGTGAGTTCCGTGTGCCAGTCTGGACTACACAGCAAGACCCCAGCTCAATTTTTTTTTCAGTTACTGTAACCCAAGGATAGTAGATATGTCTAATATTTCTAGATTAAAAAATAACAAAACAAACATGAAGAAAAGCAGAATGATGAAAAGCTGAGTTAAAAGATAATCTCAGTTGAAGGCTTTGAGGATTGGTGTTGTTTCGTTTTGTTTTAGTTTTCACTGAAAACATTTTATTGGCCTTCTGAACAGAAATGGGATTTATTTGCCAGGAAGGATGACCCCGTCATACTTCTGCTGGAGCCAGCGCGGCCTCCTCCTGGCTGCTTCTGGGTTTGGCCCCAGCGCAGCCCGTCCTGCGACGCTGAAACCTGGCCTACCCAGCTCCACATAGAAGTCCAGGCCGTAGATACCAATGCTTGGGGGCATATTTGATGCCCAGATCGATGTGTTCCTGGATTCCAAAACCAAACTTTCCAGTATCAGAGAAGTTATTGTTCCTTAATTCATACTCCGCACTTTTAGGCCTTTCTCCAGGATTTCTTCTGCCTTCGCCCCTCGGACCGTGCAGCGGACAGCAATCTTCTCGCTTCTCCTGATGCCAAAAGACCTGACGGGGTATCTAGTTTTAGAAGACACAGGAGTCTGGCCCGTGAGCTGCTCCAGTACCTTGGCTGCCCGGGTCAGTCTGGCTCCACTCTCTCCGCCGCAAATGTAAGGTAGAGTTTGCAAATTCAGAGTTCCCGCATGGGGTTCTCCTCACCCTTGATCCTGCAGCATGGTGGAGAACCGGAAGAGCCGTGTTTTGGGGTGTTTTTTTAGTAAACCACCACACACAGCTCCTCCTGCCTATAATCGCAACACTTGGGAGGCTGAGGCAGGAGGATCACAAATTTGAGCCCAGGGCAATTTAGTGACTTCACAAAACCCTGTTTCAAAACAAAACATAAAATGACTTAGAGAACCTCCACATATACTCGTAAATGGGAAAGAGGCATGGCACCTACCTGTAATCCCAACCCAAGAGGCTGACACAGGAGGATCACAAATCTGAGTCCAATCCACGCCCCTATCAAGACCCAGTCTCTAACTGGGCCTGGCAGCACACACCTGTTACCCAGCATTCAGAGGCTGAGGCAGGAGGATCACCTCAAGTTTGAGATCAGCCCGAGCTGCATAGTGAGTTCACAGCCAGCCTGAACACACATTGAGACCTTGTCGCAAAAAACAAAATACCAGTCTCCAAACAAAATAAAATAAAATAAGGGTTGTGGGTGAGCTCAGAGCAAAGACCCCAGGTTCAGTTCCTAGTACCAGGGGGGGACATTGATGCGGGGATGGGGGCAGCAATTTTACTTTGGCTTGCCCTTTTCCCCATAAGTTTTTTGTGGCTGTTTGTTTGGTTTCCTTTCTGCTTTTTCAGGGCTAGACATTAAACCCAGGCCTCATACACCTCACCCAAACCCTGAGCAGTCCTAGGGATTACCACTGAGTGGCGTCCCTTGTCCCTCTGCCTTTTTATTTATTTATTATTATTATTATTATTTTGTATTTTAGGGAAGGGTCTACAAGGTGTTCAGGGTCTCACTACTAGATCGGACTCATAGTGATCCGCCTGTTTACAGCCTCCCAAGAGGGGGGAGTACAGGCATGCGACACCACGCCCAGTCTCTTGCTGTTTTAGCGCACCCAGCAAACCCCTGGCCCCTGCGCCTGCTTGCAGGTGCTTTAATCCGCTGAGCTATTTAGCTGTCCCTGCCTTTTTAAAATTTTGACGCAGGGTCTCACTAAGATGTTAAGTTGCACAGGCTGGGCTGGAAATTGCAATCCTCCTGCCGAAGCGCTGGGATCGTAAGGGAGAGCCACCACCATAACTTCTTAAACTTGTCAACGTCTCAACCACTTTCAGATCAGCCCAACATTTCCCTCGGGACTCCAGCCACCCTCACCTTCAGGGCAAGTTCCTTCCTTCATTTCTTCTCAAGACAAGAGAGATAACAGGCAGAGTACTTCAGTTCCCAAAGTTCATGCGACGAAGCTGCGCCATCTCTGCCAAGTGGAAAGGCAGAGTATTATAAAACAAAAGGCCTTCCTCCGTCTTCCTGCCTACTCCCAAACCAAGCTAACATCATCGCACAACAATTACTAGGAAGACAGGGTAACAAATGTTTCCTGAGATAAAGCTCCTGTGCGAATGGAGGTTGAGCTCC